GCACACGCACACGCACACGCACGCACGCGCACTAGCACGCACGCACACACGCGCACACGCACGCGCACGCGCACTAACACACACACGCACACACATACACGCACACACATACACACACACACACACACACACACACACACACGCACACACGCACACACACACACACACCACACACACACACGCGCACGCACACGCACACGCACACGCACACGCACACGCACACGCGCACGCGCACGCACACGCACGCACACGCACACACGCTCACATGCACACACGCACGCACACGCACACGCCCACGCACGCGCACGCGCACTAACACTTTTCGCGTCGGCGGCTAGGCAGAGTGACTGCACTGGCGGAAGAGCATATAAGTATGATGTACAAATGCAAATTAAGCTGCGATGCACGGGGGAAAGAGAGAGGGACAGCCTGGCGCGGGCAGGAGGAAGCGGGAAGCCGGGCCCGCTCAGAGCGGGTCCAGGCGGCGGCGGGGCTGCGCCGAGGGTAGGACCAGTAGCCGCGGGGCACACACACAGACACGCACGCACGCACGCACGCACACATGGCGAAGCCTCAGACCAGAACCGCTGCCGCGCTTCGGCGAAGGGGCGAGTTTAGACACTGGGAACTCAAACTTGGCTCTACCGTTCTCGCAGCTCGCTCTCCTGAGTCGCGCTGCTGCCTCGGCCGTGCCACGAGGCGGCGGCCGGCGCGCGCCAGGCCGGCCGGCAGCAGCTGGGCCGCGGCAAGCGCTGCGGCGGCGCGCGCGGCCGCGGCCGGCGACGCTCGCGGCGTGTCCTCCTGCCTCTCGGGTGTGCGGCCGCGGCTGGCGTGCGCGGGGGACCTTCTTCCTGCGCTGCCCTGAAGCCGCCTTGAACTTTTCTGCTCGGCGGCAACCTCCGATTCACAGCGGAGGGAGGGGGGGCGGGAGGTGCTGGCCGATGGCCAAATCCTCTCGCTTTGTGCAGCCCCACGCGTGCCCGCGCGCACCAATACTGCATAGCCTCTTCGGACATGCGCAACCGACAGGGTCAGTTTATCCGGGGAAGGTTCGGGCGGGCCCGATAACCCAGGCTATCGCCAGACCCCCCAAAAAAACAGTCTCCCTGCTCGGCCCCTGCGAACTACAGCCGAAACGGTCGTAAGGATGCGCTACGGCGATGGCATTGGATGAGGAGCCCTTGGATCAAGAATCCAGCGCCTGGAAGCTGGTGAAACTTCAATCGTGAATCAGCCATGGATATTACTGCCGCCCACAACGTGTAAGACCAGACGTCGGAGGAGGAAAAAGAGGAGGAGGAGGAGAGAGGAGGAGAGGAGGAGGAGGAGGAGGAGGAGGAGGAGGAGGAGGAGGAGGAGGAGGAAGAGTGAGGAGAAGGAGGAGTAGGAGGAGGAGGGAGGAGGGAGAGAGAGGAGGAAGGAGGAGGGGGGAGGAGGAGGAACCATTCCCACCCCCAACGGAACAAAACTTCGTCCCCTGTGGCTGGCCTACCCACCCAGGTGGGGACGGGTGCCGTCTCCCTCGGGATTCGTGGCTCCCATCCCCACCTAAGCTGGAAGAGCTAACCTACCGGTAGGGATGGTTCGGAAGAGGATAAAGAAAGGACGCCGCAAGGAACCTGGAACAAGTCAAGAGTACCCTTAAATCGACTAGGGAACGAAAACAAGCACGACAAACATGTCCAGAATGGAGGGATGCAAGGGCCCCTTGCCTCAAGCAGATCATTCTCAAAACCGATGTTTACTGTACGGCAATAAGCTGCCGTGACCACGTGGGACCGAAGCAGGAACTCATACACATACATCTTGGGGAACCGATGTCCCAGGACTCGCAGCTGTCCTGGCCCCAGTAAGTGCAGATACACACACATGTGTGTATATATATATATACATGTAGACATACCCACCTGTGTATATATATATATATACACATCCTCTGCCAGGAGCAGAGGCGCCCGACGCTCCCGGCTCCTTAGGCACATAATAATACTGTCCTTTCGTTTTGGCATAAGGTTCACGACTGCTGAAGCACATCGGAACAGTCAGGGCCAGTATGTTTGTCCATCGGTCTCGCGTCCTGAGACGCAATACTTTGCCGCCCCCCCTTGCCGCGTGCGCATCCCCGCGCGCGTCCAAACGCCTTCTGCAATCCCCTGCGTTGTTACGCTCTTCCACGCGGGGGGGCCCGCGCGTACCCCGAACTCCGACGTCGCGATTTGTTGCACGGCCTGGCCTCCTGGAGGCCTGGACCCCTTCCCTGGGACCAGTTGTTCATCCCGAGTCGTGTTCCGACGGTCCTGGGGCGCTCGGAGGCTCCGAAAACAGCTACAGAATCTCCCGCCGTGATTCGGGGATGGCGCCCTCTCGAGAACCGATAACGGACAATTCATTAGTCGACGTGTCAGGGTGGGGGTTCTGTCCACCCCCGAGCGATTCCTGCGCGACACCTAAGCGAAGCGGAGGCTGGGGGCGCGCAGACGCCCTCCCTCCCCTCGCCCCCCCCCCCCCACACTGCCCCCGCCCGAGCAGCCGCCCCCCCACGCCCCCACCCCCCACCCAGCTGCACCGTGGGGTGGCCGGAGGCGCGCGGCAGCGCAGGCGAATATCGTCACAGAACCTGCTCGGCGGTCACACTGATCAGGAGCCAGCGCTCGCCAGCAGCTTCGCGGGCGCAGTCGCCATCGTTTCGAAGGAGGCGCGGGTGCGAGACAAAAAAACGCCCTTGGCTGTGGAGGTGGTCTCCAAGCCAGCAACAGGACAAGAGCGCAGGAAGGACTCGCGGTGGAGGTGAACCCATTCATCAGCCTGTTCTACCTCCGTCCATCCCTCCCGCCGCCCGCCTTCACTCGTTTACTTCCCCTCCCCCACATCCCACCTCCCTCGTGCGTCTTCTCTTCTGCTCCATCCTCGTCTGGATCCTCAATATGTTCCCACCTCCCTTTCCGACCAACCCGCCCCCCCCTTCCTCCCCCATCCCTCTTCCTTGAACGGATAACTCCATCCTGTCGCACCACCAGACGCGTCATTAGGGCGGGCTGGGCGTTTCGCCTGAGAACCCCTCACCACATATGGTCCAGGGCTTGGGCCCCCCCCCCCAATGCTGATGCCATTGGGCCCCCCCCCCCCCGCGCGATGGTCCCCTCCGCCCCCCCCTGTGGGCGTGGCGTGGTGCTGCGCTGCGGTGCCCCCCCCCCCCCCCCCCTTGTGGATGTGGTGTGGTGCTGTGGTGGTTCAGAGGTGGGCGTGGCGTGGTGCTGCGCTGCGGTGTCCCCCCCCCCCTGTGGATGTGGTGCGGTGCTGTGGTGGTTCAGAGGTCGTCGTCGTCGTCGCCGTCGTCGTCGTCGTCGTCGTCGTCGTCCTCGTCGTCGTCGTCGTCGTCGCTCGCCGTCGTCACCGTCGTCATCGTCGTCGTCGTCGCCGCCGCCGCCGCCTGCGTCGTCGCCGCCGCAGCCGTCGTCGTCGTCGTGGTCGTCGTCGTCGTCGTGGTCGTCGTCGTCGCCGTCGTCGTAGTCGTCGCCGTCGTCGTCGTCTCTGGGACCATACCATCTGGGGGGGGGGGGGGCCCGAGGAATCCTGGGACCGTACAATCTGGGGGGGAGGGGGGGGGGCCCGTGGGCCCGGAGCCCGGGACCATATATGACCTCGAAGCTTAAGCACTCCAACAGCAACGCAGATTCAGCACAGCTCATGTTTGAAATGGATGCGATCGCCTTGGCACCGTGCACACTCGTCGTAAAAAACGACAACAGTTACGCTGATGAAGGGCGGGCGGCTTTCGAAATGGGTCTCTCGGCATGGCACCGCGCACATTCGGATTGAAAGCTTGCAACAGCTAGCTATACGGATGGAATGCAGGTCGTTTTCCCGGTGGGGCCCTCGCCTGAGCGTCACGCACATCCGTCTTAAAACCTTGCAGCCAGTACCATGATGCAGGGCGACTAAACGAGGATCTAGCCTTGGCGCCGCGCACATTCGTCTTACATGTTTCAGAAATGAAGCTCCCGCTTGAGATGCCTTGGACCTGTATAGCCCGAAATTTAACATTGTGGCGCAAATACACGGCTGGAGGGCGGCTCCCGTTCAAAACGTAGCTCTCGCGTGAGACGCCCTCGAATGTGGTGGCCCTGCGCAAGAAATTGCGCAACCCTTACGCGTATGGAAGGTCGACTCCTTTCAAGCGGAGCTGCCGCTGGCCAGCGCTCTGGACTTGATGACCATAATTGAGTCGGGCCTGTCCCCCTACAGAGGGATTTTGGGCGAAAAATGGAAAATAGCAGAAAAATAGCCCAAAAGGGCTCCAAAATTATCAAAACATCGTCCCCAGACTATCTTTTGACTATCTTTGAATCTTCCTCCTGTAGAGGGACAGGCCCGACTCTAGAGACCATAACGCTTTGCGGTTCTTCCTGCTGGAAAGATGGAGGGCGGGCCCGTCACGAAGCGGGGCCTCGCCTGCAATGCAGGCCCACGGGCCGGCCGTCCGTCCAGGAGAGCAGTGGACAAGACTGGTAGGAACTTAGGACGAGGGGGCTTGGGGACGGGAAGGCGTACTGCAGAATCGCTGACGCACGTTGAGCTTACTCTGGCCGTGCTCCTCCTCGTGGACTTCCTCCTCCCGTTCCTGCCCTTCCTCACCCGTCCTCAGCCACCCTCAATCCTCACCCGGCCTCACCGTCGTCCGTCTCCCTCCACATCTCTCCACCTTCGCCGCCTCCCGCCACCTCCGCCTCCTCTCCCAGCACAAAAAAGGTGGGGGCGGCAGTTCCACCGCGAGTCCCCTAAGAGAGCTCGCTGAGGAAGCACACGTGCCGGGAAAATGCGAGGTAGCGCTGCTTTGTCCCAGAGCACGGTGCTGGCGACTCTACGAGGCCACCTACCCTGAGACAGGACGCCTGCCCAGCCCCCTCTCCAGCCACAGACCCGCGCACTGCCTATGTGAGGGGGAGGGAGCGGGGGACAGCGGTGCGCCAGGCTGTCTGTACGGTGGGCATTCCCTAAGTTCACGGCAAGCTGCGCTTGGAATTCGACTGGGCGGCTCCCTCGACGATGCCCCCGGCCGTGTACATGGCACCCTTCACCGCGAGTTTCCCCACGGCCTTCTTGCCAACCAAGTCCTTCAGTTCCTCCTCCTCCTCCACCTCCTTCGCCTCCTCCTCCTCCATTCCATGTCCTCATAGAGAACTCCTCCCTGTCTCACTCCGAGGCTGATCGAGAGGGCGGGCCGGGCGATTCGCCTAAGCCTTCCTTACCACTTAGGATCCTGAAACTTAAGATTGGCGACATGTTCACGGATGGAGGGTCGGCGGTTTTCAAAATGTGGCTGTCGCCGTAGCGCTGCGCACCTTCGATTTAAACATGTGCAACAGATTCACGGATTCAGGCCGGGCCGTTTTCCAAATGTGGTTCTCGCCTCAGCGCCGCGTGCACTCGCTTTAAACATGTGCAAGAGATTCACAGATTGAGGGCGGGTCGTTTTCAAAATGCGGTTATCGGCCCTAGTGTCGCACACATTCGTCTCATGTAAGAGCTTCACGGATTTGGGGCGGTTCGTTTTCAAGTTGTGACTCTCGCCTTAGCACCCCGCACATTCATTCAAAAAACTGCAAGAGATTCACGAACTGGTGGCGAGCCGTTTCCAACATGTGGTTCTTGCCTTAGCGTCCCACACATTCGTCATAAACAGGTGCAAGAGTTTCACGGATCAAAGTTTGGTTCTTTTTCAAAAAAAGGGCCCTCGCCTCAGCACCACGCAGATTCGTTTACCACACTTGCAAGAGCTGCAAGGATCCCCATGGCTCACGTAACAGAAATTCTGTTTTGGGGACATTCTGGAATGTCTGGGCGCAACAGTTACGTTGATTCGCGGTGTTGTAGCCCCAGGGATCGAGTTCTGGCACGATTCAGCATCGTCAAGACGACATAATCAAATGGATTCGCCGAGCTGGCAGTTCCGAAAATGCTGTTCCGGCAACCTTGAGGATCTTCGAACGGTGGTCTCCCAACGGGGCACTTCCCTCAGAGAGGAGGGAGGGTTTGTGAAGAGGGAGTTTGGAGGGAGGGTCTATTCCAACGTCGTTGATGAGTCTTGGGTTTGCACCTGTCCTCCTGCTGCTCCTCCTCGCACATCCTCTCCATCTGCTCGTTTCGTTGGTCCTCGCCTCGGGTCGCCGCAGCGCTGACTACTCGCCTCCACGATCCCAGCCCCAGCACCAGACTCTCTCAGAAAGGGCCCCCGGCGCCCCCTGCACATCTCTTCTGCGTCGCGCGGCACAAGTGCACTCCTCCGCCCTCCACGGGGTCCTCCTCCGACGTCTCAACTGTCTCATGCCGCGGGCCCTGGAGCTCTCGAGTCCCCGATCCCGACAGCCCCTGGGGCCCGACGCGCCTCCGAGGACAGGTGACGTGGGAGGACCAGCCGTCGTCATCGCCAAGAGGCCTGAGCCCCTCCCCGACATTCTGAACCATCACCTGCCCTGCGAGTGCGCGCTGGCAGGGTCTCCGAGGCGAAGCCGGCCGTGGCGACGAATGCGACCCCAGAGGCCCCGCCAGAAAGGCGCCAACAGCTGGCCCCAAGCTTCGACGACCAGAGTCGCCGACGCACGGCGACGGCGCACGTCGGCGGCGACGCACGATGCGACGGCGGCGACGAACCCCGACGTCCGACGATGTGATGTTTGTTCAGTCCGGGGCCCCAGAGGCCCCGACATGCCCCTCTGGGGGTGCGTCCACTCCTGGGCCCATTTTTGACAGCCCCTGGGCCAGAAAAGATGGGCCCCAATCACCAGCGGCGACCATATCCATGTCCGCGCCCTCGTGGTATGGAATCCTGGGCGAGATCCCGCCGCGGTGTCACGCGGTCGCACGGATGCGTTCCGCGCGGGAAGCCGCGAAAAAACACCCCGTACCCGCGGGATCGAGGCCCGGGGGCCCGTACCGCGAGGCCGACAATACGACTTACGCATTTCGCCCGCGACCCAGAGCTCGAAATCACGGACACACGCCCGAACGGAACACAACACATATCGTCAGATATCTGGGGTACTTAGCTGCCCGATACGTAACACGTAACCCGAAGCGTGTTGGCACGGAGCTCAACAGGCAAACCAAAAACGTTGGTTTTGCGCGCAACGATCCGTTGAGCAAACACGCAGCTTGTCAACACGGACGCTTTGAACACGGCACGTGCTGCACTGCCAAAGCGGCGTACCCGGGCAGCTAAGCTGGGGCAGCTGCTGCGGCGATGGCGCCGACGGCGGCGGCGACCGCCCGCCCGCGTCCTGGAGCTCGAAGGCCGCGCCGGCGGTGGCCAGGCCATCGCGCGCCACGCTGCCCGCGGCGGCCCCGTACTTGTGGCCTACGATGCCCGCGGTCTCGTCCGCGGCCGCAGTTTGCAGCCTGTCTGACGCCTCGGGCAGGCTTACACTCAAGACGCTGGCATAAGCACCGCGTTGGGTCTCTGGGCCGTCCGTTACTCTTGTGCCGTGGAACCCGCTTGTGGCCCAGGCCCGCCGTGGCCAGAAAAAACCAATGCGTTCTATGTGGTCGCACGAGGACTGTACATATCGTGGTGTTGGGTCTTCGTCTTTTGAAAAGAAAACGCCCCGCGTGTCATTCCCTCGTCCTCCCCCCTTTCCTCTCCCACCCCGCTTTTGCTTTCCGCATTAGTTTGCAAGTTGAGCTCACCTCTCACACTCCGCGTGGCCCCGCATGGGGGCTCCACCGAAGACCCCAGGGTCCACATGCGGGTCCCCGCCCACCGTCTCTATTTCAGCACACCCCTCACATGCTGCGTGGCCTCGGTGGGAGTTCCACCGATGGCCCCAGTGACAAGGTCCACGTGCGGCTCCCCACCCACCGCATGTCCCATTCGTCACCCCGCTCACGCGCTTCGTGGCCCCAGGAGGAGCTCCACCGAAGGCCCCAACTGGAGGATCCACATGCGGCCCCCCGGCCACAGCATGTGATGTTCGGCACACCTCACACGCCTTGTGGCCCCCATAGGGAGCTCGACCGAAAACCCCAGTTGCAGGATCCACGTGCGGCCCACTGCCCAGTGCATGTCCATGTCGGCACACCCGTCGCACGCATGCTGGCCCAATCCAGAAATTCCACCGAAGGCCGCACTGGGAGGATCCACGTGCGGTTCCTTGCCCACCGCATGTCGATTTCGGCACACCCCTCACATGTTTCGTGGCCCCATAGGGAGCTCCGCCGAGAGCCCCTATGTGAGGGACCACATGCGGGTCACCGCCCACCAAATGTCAATTCCTGCACACTCCTCACACTTGTCGTGGCCCCATAGGGAGCTCCACCGAAAGCCCAGAGGCGGGATCCACATGCGACCCCCGCTCATTGCATGTCATTTCGGGCACACCCCTCACACGCTTCATGGCCCCATCGGGGGTTCCACCGAAGGCCCACGTTACATACGTCGTGACCCCAGAAGCTCGCAGGGAATCCCCCACGCTCTGCCTCCAAGAGCTGCCAAACGCTGGCGCGCTCTGCCCAGCGCCTCACCCGTTGTCAGCCACCCGTGTTTTCTTGTTCAATGCCGCGGACAACCCGTGCGCGTCGCTTGGATTCCTTCGGGGCGGCCGGCGCGCGTCGCGCGGACTCCGCGAGGCGCGGTGCCCAAGGCCGCAGCCACTGGGGCGCAAGGACACAAGAGGCGAGAAACACGAGAGGAGGAAATCCGGAAATCCAGATCACCTCGGGCCAGGCGGGCAGGGACGCAACGCCGCACACTGGGAAAAAGGAGAGGAGTGAAAAAGCTGTTAAGAAAGTGAACGCGAAGTGGAGGCGCACGGGGCTCGCGATAAACAGTACATTCCTCCAGAACCCAACGGCTTTTCTATCCCAGTATGGGTCCTTCGCCCGGATGATTCTGGAAGCCTGTCTTAATCAAGCTGTTGGCGGACTAGGGGCAAACAGCGGCAAGCGATCAGCGGCAAAGAGTGGGTCACGCCCCGTGCCAGCCACACACCAATTACCCCGCACTCGCCGCTAATAGCCGCTGAACGTAAAAAAAAACAAGTGTCGGTGGAATTCAAGCTTTCCTTCAAAACAAACATCAGGCAAGCTAAGACGGGGCCAAAACAAGGCCAACTTTGGACCACGATACATCGGGGATCTCTGAGGTTCGGCGGTTCTGGAAAATTCGTCTGGCGCCGCGGCCGCCCCTAGAGCGCTCCAGAACGCTCTGCGAACACTCAGGATCGCTCTGGAACGACTTGTCCATGTGCTAACCCCACCGGGCAAACGCGACCATGCGATCCTCACGTCCTGGGGAAATCACGACGGAAGGTGTTTGGTGGCTGTCGGCCTGCTGGGGGCCCTCACCGGGCCCCAGGGCCGCCAAGAAACGGCTCGGGATGAAGAGCTGATCCCAGGGAATGGGTCGGGACTTCCGAGGGCCCTGCATCGAAAAACAACAACAACAACAACAACAACAACAATCATTTTACCCGAACGCGTGGTGTTCTCCCCAGTGCCAGGGTTTTCATACGACACCAGGCAATACCCCCACTTCGTGGGGGGGCATTACAAGCTCTACCAAATATCCAAACGACTCTTCGCGACCACCCAAACCCAGCTTCCCGCCCTATGACGTTGGGACACTTCACTTCGTGGCGTGCGGACGACCGTGGCTACTACACTGGCGTGGGGTACACACCCACAGAACTTAAGAACCCAATGGTTTTTGGAGATTTCGGCGTGCGCGCGCGAAGAAAAAACGAATGTGTCCCGCATGGTATTATTTGACAGGGATGATGGCCCTGGCAGGTGCGCAACCGTTGTCGCAGAAGTTCGAAAAAGTTGCTCGCAAAAGCCCGTTTGACAGAAATGTTTAAAAAGTGTTGGTTTTCCTACGAATCCGCAAGAGCGCGCGGGATGAGATTTTGACATTTTTTTGTTGAAAAACCATTGGTTTTTTGATGTTTTTATGTTAAAATCGCTCCGAACACTAAGCTTTTGGAAGGATTTCGTCTTGCGCGCGCGAATGTCCACTTTACCTTATTTTTTGCAAGGGATTCTTGAAATTTGATTATATTAGAACAAGAAATGTCATTTTATAGTGTTTTTTGCAAGGGAAAGCGGGGGGGAACAAAACAACCGGATCTTGATCACATCGAATTACCTGAGGCTTCCTCACGAAAATGATGAAAATGTAGCTGCGGCCTAGGCGGCGCAGGGGGGGCGCGCACCAGGGGGCCCAACAATAATTATTCTTTAGAATTAATAATGTTCAACAACAACAACAACAACAAGATGTCGAATATGGCGGCGTCGAAGGCGGCGGCGGAGGTGACGGCGGCGGCAACAACTGCGGCGGCGGCCTCTTGCCCGACGCCGTGTGGCGGCGCGCCAGCCCGAGCGAGGGAGGGGCGGGCTTCTGAGAAGACAGAAGAGGCGGGGCTGCTGCAAGGGGCCGGCGGCCACTCTGGGGAAACCAAGAGGCCGACACCGCTGCCGCCCAGGCTTCTTCTGGGGAGCGTGCTGGCCACCAGGATCCCGCGGAGAATCCAGGCGTGGCGGCTAGAGCCTCGGCGCGGGAGAGCGAGAACAAGGAAAGCGCACCAGCGTATCGGCAAAATCTGGCTCCCAGAGCCCTCTGAGAAGCACTCGTCGAGGGCAAGACGGCCCACGACGAGGCGGGGCGCCCTCTCGGAAAGCCGTCTCCGCTCGGCCTGTCCTGCGGCCAGAGTCCGCTCAGAATCAGCCCCCGGACGCCTCCCAATGGTCCGTCCTGGCACGCGCAAAGGATGGACGAAACTGACAACCCTTCCGTATATGCCCATCCCCGGGGTGCAGGGAGCCCGCACTGAAAGTCGGGACGCCATGCAGATAGGTTGTCAGGTTCGACCATCCCGTCCATCCTGGCCCGTTGGCCGAGCCTCGCCCAGCCGTGGCGGAGGGACAAGGAAAAAGGCAATGCACGACACGCCCGCGCACGCGCACCCCATGTGGGGTGCTGCAACATGGCGGCGCCGGGCCGTTCTGACAGCTGTTCGCGTGCAGCGCGTGTTGGGAGGGGCGCTATGTTTAAGGTTGGGGCGGTTGCTGCCGCCTGGGCCCGGGCCGTCGCAACGAGGGGTGCCATCTGGCTTCTGAAGGCCCCCGAGTCCGTGTCCAAGCTGGTCTGCTCAGTTTGGTCCACGTGGGCCCCTTGCTCGGGAAGGTGGCATTGTTGCGCCACGGTGGCTTGAATGGCCTGGCCCGTCCTCTCACGCGCAGCGCGAAACAAACTCTGACCCGATAACACTCCAAAGCTCTGTTGATGCACTGCTCGAGGCGGCGAAAACCTTCGGAAACGCCAAGAGGCCTCCAGAACGACGACAACGACCCAGAACCCCCCGGCCCACGAGCGGCGAACCTATCCGTATCCGCGCCCTCGCGGTTCGGATTCCGGGCGCGGTCCCGCGGATACGCAGTCGCACGGATGCGTTCCGCGCGGGGCATCCGCAAAAAAACGCCCCGTGCCCGCGAGGTCGCGGCACAGGGGCCCAGCCCGCGAGGCCGCGGATACGGAGATACTTCGCGCCCACGGAGAGCCTCGGGAAACGCCCAGGAACCTCCGGGACGACGACGCCGACCCAGAACACCCCGACGTCGTGGCTCTTCCGCAAGGTGCTCTCGGCCCCACTTCCCGGGACTGGCCTCTCATCCCGAGCCGCCTCTGCGACGGCCCCTGGGGCCAGGTAGGGGCGCCCCGGTGGCCGGAAAACAACATTGCTGCAATCGAACCATCTACGCGTTGCAAGATTACGATGTACATGTAGATATTCAGACATACACCTGTTGCACATGTCCATGCATGTACATACATATACATACATACATATATATACATATATCCCACACGCACTTTTGTCTAGCTTAGTAGCCCCCCTGCCTGGGCCGCCCCTTTCTCTACCTCTCTCTCTCTCTCTCGCTCTCTCTCTCTCTCTCTCGCTCCCTCGTGTGCGTTAGGCTTCGGCTCTAGGGTTGAGAGATCTGCAAGCAACTTTCAGACCCTGCGAGCCCAGCACCGCAGGTGGCGGGCGCGCGCGCGCGCCGTTGGGAGCCATTCAGCTCCACTGGTACTTCGTGGTGGGCCTGCTGGGGTGGCAGGCAGGCGAGCTGTCGGAGAAGGGAAGCTATTTGCTCGGCGTCGCTGCTGCGGAAGACGGGCAAGACGAGTTCGACGCGTACGTCGACAACGGGGCCGTCGAGGGTTGTGTCATAGGTGGCGTTCGAGCTGGCATCATGGCTCCGTGGGCCCGATGGAATCGGGTGTACAATCGTGCCAGCGAGAAGGCAGGCAGTTGTTTCTTGCTGGTTTCAAAAATGGGAAATGCATCTTCGACGATCTGGACGGCCTGCGATCCCACCCTACATGTTCAGCCAACTAACCTGGGAGACAAGC